GTTTTTATCATAAATATTTTAAAATTACTCTTTACGAAAGACCAAATATTTTCGCAAAAACACGAAACGATAATATGCGATGACGCATTATCGTATATTGCATTGCAGTGTTTTTATCATAAATATTTTATTTTACGATAAAAATTTTTTTCGAGGCCGAATAGTTTTAAGCAAAAACACGTTTTTTTTAATACTTCGTATTATTACGAGTACATACCCCATTAATAAAACCAACACAAATTAAAAGCAGGTAAACATTAGTTTTAAAATATTTTTAACTTCAAATTGCATTATAACTTTCTAATTACTCTTTCTCTCTCTTCCTTTACTTTTTGGCACGTTATATATATTTTTACGCTCTATTATCTTTATAAATTAATTGTATCTGTGTTTGTGAAACTTTTGCAACTTTTCCTAAAAATATTTTTGTTGATATATAAAAAGTAATTAATTTATTAATATAGATTATTAATTTACTAAAATAGAATCTATTAAAATAGAAGTAATTTATTTATTATAAATTTTATTAATGTATAGCAAGCTCATTTTTTTGAGAAGCATTGAAATAAGCTGATTTACTTTTGCATGTATTTTAGCTTAAATTTGAAATATTATATAAACTTTTTTAGTCTGCATAAATTTACGACAATTTTTATCGAAAATATTCAACAATAAGAAAGAAATGTATTTCTGAGAGTAAAAGATTTCAATTCCAATATTGCTAAAATATTTCTTCCAAGGATATAACGATTTTTAGACCTCTATTACAGCGTTCTAGCCGCGGGCAGTTTTATATTTGCATATCGGAGGAGGGGGAGAAAAAACCAGATTTATATTTCGAGAGAAGTATTTCTCGTGAAATAATAAATATAAAAGCATTCAAACTCTTGTTAAAAATTAGGATGCACATGATACCGCAAATCAAGCAGAGTATTAAACATGTAAAGATGATATACTGTCACATAATGAAATCATGTTAATCGATAAATAATAAAAAAAATTTGTCGAAAAATTACTAGACACTTTTTCATTAATTACTAAAATCTCGGAAATGAACAACATTAAAAAAACATTTTAATATTTTTATATATTTTCTCTGTTGAGAAAAAAATTAAAAAATGATAACGATACTTCTCATCTCACCAAAGAATTTGATCGAAAATAATACAGATTATTTTTTTCTCAAAGTATCGGTTTCGCATTGAGTCATCAGCATTGCAATAATGTGCCATTTTGATGATGACTAAACACGGACACCTGTACTAGGAATGAGTGTCAAGGTATGTCTAAATCATACGTTTTGCATTAGAGCATTAGCACAATCATTTTATACGATTTGTCATCATGAAAAATGTGCATATGTATATGTTACCAGCAATTATGCAATGTTATTATGTAACTTGCTTATATTTTAATTGATACCTTATATGCTCATAATCAGGTTTATCAGAATCCAAGAAATCTTCTTTTGCGTTTCTTAAGAACCGCTTTAATATTTCATGAAAATTTTATTGACATTAAAATTCTCATAACTTGTATTTTTCATTTTTATTTCGATTATGTTTTGCGACTTTTGATTACGTCTGGGCACACCTTCGTGAATAAGAGAATATATTTTCGCGATGATGTGATGAAATCATTTCGAAAAAAAGAATGACGTAGACAGATTTCTGAATATTAAACTTCATAAAATCTTGTAAAATGCAATGCGATAGTTCGCAAAATATATTTAGCTCCTTTCGCATTCACTTTTTCGTTTCATACGAATTACTTGATCTCTCTATAAAAATTGTGTTTACAATTCACATTTATTTGTTATCATATATTTTTATATATTATATATTTTTTCCTTTATACATTTTTTTAAAAATATGTCTCAAATTTAGAGTCCTTTAATTATCGAAATATCTTGAGTTTAATCACACATATTTGTTTTATATTCTTATTCACCAAATTGCCCTTGGCCCTATTTTGTTATATCACGAACGCCGTTATGCTTGACAGCGTAATGATAATGTCATTTCCCTTTATTACGTAATACAATCATATAAAGCGCAACAAGTCATAAATAAGTATCGAGTTTCTTTTACACGTCGTTTCACACTTGACCCTCAGACTCTTGTCAGAGAAGTCATGATTAATGACATGTTATTATCATAACTAAACCCTATTTGGTATTGCGTTTACCTCCAATAAAAATATCAATTATTCCATGTGTTGAAGAGTCGATAGATTATATATAATAAGGAAAAGAAGAGAGAACGATGGAACGATTAATAACCGCATCGTAAAGTTTATTATAATGTTTCCTGAAAATACCTGTTTACATCATTTCGCGAGGGATATTACCTTAGGGACGTGCCATGTAGAATTTTTAAATGCGTAGTACTTGAAAGATATAAATACTTTGCGACATGGCGTGAAAGTGTAATTATCTCTGGTAGTAAAATCGCTACAAATCGTAAAGATTGCACATTTACACGTAATTATCAACTCCATAACGGTTATAAATTATTGTGAGCACTTTATTCGCGTATATGTTTTCATTTAAAAGCCATCCTTTCGTATGATTTAAATCCAAATATTTTTTCTTGACAAGTTGCAATTTCATCCTTAAATAAAAATAATTCACGAGATACTAATAAATCGTGATGCGGAGCAAGAAGTAAATTTGCAAAAAAAGTAAAAAATAGAATAAATCTTTCTTTTATTTGATTATGTACGTTTTGCTCTCTTTTTAATGTTAATTAAATGGTGATATGGAGTTATCTCGATGTATATGTTACTATTGCTTGTTTACATGATGTTGATATATTATTGACATTTATTTTTGTTGATAATTAATTTTAATATGACAAAGATACAGCTGTCGTATATAATATAGTTTTAAAGAACTTTTGATGGAATTCTTGTACAAGAAATTATATGTTTCAATCGTCACGTAAGTGAATATCGATATTCATACATAAATGTCAAATTCTCATATTCGAAATTTTTTTTTCTAGGAAATTATATTTATTTATACATATATTTTTCTTTTATTCAATCTATAGGTAAATGTATATCTATAGATACCTATATGTATACTTTTGAAAAAATACAAATGTCACACGAGAGACTCACAGGCGAATAAAGAAAATTATAAAAATTCAATTTTATAATTTTTTTAAAGAACTAGAAAATGATAAAATCAATTAAAATTTTATCAGTATTAAAAAATTCTCATCAACTGAATTAAACGCTATTATACACAAATGGATAAGATGAGAATATGCAAGTATTTTTTTTATTTCTTAAAGCCATTTATAAATGTCATGCATTTGTAATAGCTTTAGCACATAAAAGAAAGAAAGTTCTTTTTCCGAGCAATTGTCAGCAATAAACTTATCGCTAAGATAAATACACAATTTTGCAAAATTGTAGTTATAGTATGAAAAATAAGATTTTAATTTAAATTGTAGTTATAGTATGAAAAATAAGATTTTAATTTAAGTATATTATTGTTTCTTATATAAGCGATACATTCGCGAAATTTTAAATTTAGTTAAGTTTGAAGTTTAAAAAAAATATGATGTGAAATTAACAACGGCATTTTTCCCATATCATAATCACGTTTGAATTTTTCGGGGGGCGCAATTTGGTTTGCAAAACACGCCGTTGACAGGTTACCATAAATAATAAAATCGATCGCGGAAACTATTATATATTTTAGCTGCTCAACGTATATACGTGTATTACTTCCTTCATGTTGAAAGCAGTGTGACAATTATCTCAACGACCGTCTGGACCCGTGATTTGCAGGTAGTAGTAAAAATAACGTGGGTAAATAAATTCAAGCTGACAGGTTGTTGGTAATTTTCTAACGATTTTTGACGATCGTTAAATAGCACCGTTAAAATTATGCGTCGACGATAAATGCAAGTATTTTTTGCGGTCTTAAAAGTAAGAAAAATTATTGATACAAAATATGTATAATATGATAAGCGATGCATAATTTTCGCTTTAAGCCTTCATAGTGATTAGCTGTATAACAGTAGTATTGATCAAGTTTTTACATTAAGTATTATTATAAAAATATGTACAAGAGTGCCATCTTTCTCTTTCTTTTCTTTATAAATCGCTGAAATTATATATATATATATATATATATATATATATATATATATATATATCTGTATAACGAGGCAGTTATAATAATTATAGTCTATGAGTAAACCAAGCAATTTTATATGCTTGCTAGGCAGGGGCGCATGCTACTTGTATAAAATTAAATGTTATTATATATTTTTAATTTTATAGATTTTTAAATTATTATCATATTATGATCTTACAAATTGTTGCAAATTAATAATACATTTTAAATTAAAATATTTTACGTTAAAATATAGTCAAGTATTTAAAATGCAGATAAATATAGTATGAGATGTTTCTTTAATTAAATATAATAAGCAATAAATTAAAACAGAAATCCGTAAATGAACGTAATAAAAGAATTTGGAAAAAGTAAGAATGTAAAAAAGTTTTTTGTTATAAATTTAAAAATAGTATTATGTCAGATAGAAATATTATTCGAGATTTATATAATTATAAAAGTAGACAATATTTTAAATTAACAAAGTTGCTAAATAATAATTATCTAAATAAAATCCACTTTAAGCTTTCTCTTGAAGAAAGGAAGATCAATAGATCTGTATATAGAAGCGTATAATGTAATCAGAAGCAGTCAATGACTCGAAAGATTATACGCATCCATTGAAAATTATCTAAATATCGAAGGCATGCCGTTTCTCGATTGATAGTCACAACATTATCGTTGTATGACAGCGATGGCTTGTACGACGAGCAATAAATTGCATGTCAACACGGAGTTCACGAGACGATGTTTAATCCCGATTAATCGATGGTCGCGCGAATCGGACGATGATATGCACATTTATTATTGAACGATAATATAAAGCGATCGACGATATAACGAGATTTTCTCTGCATCTGTGTTTCAGTGGGTTTCTCGGTGCTGATGTTTTACCTATTTGGTAAACCTTACAAACGTGGCTTTTTCTGCAACGATGAATCACTCTATCACCCGTATCACGAATCCACGGTTACGAGCGCGATGCTGTACGTCATCGGCCTTTTCCTTCCTATATGCACGGTGAGTCAACCTTTGATTGTGATTGTGATTTATGCTGATATGTCGCGAGAAATGTTGTGAGAAATCACCTGACCATCTACCGTTATAGCGAAGATCTTATCTCTTTCATTGCGAGCACTTCTAACGTGCATTATGACTTGCTGTATGACGTGTGATAAAAGTCACTGTTGAGATATAGCAGTCGTTTAACAAGTTATCTTAGTCTAACTTGTCATTGAATATGTTGTCATTGTATATGAAATTGCATTAATTTGATAGAAAAGTCACTCTTACTTTAGAAAGGAGAAATTATGTTTATGATATTTGATTTGATTTATACTGGAAATAACATTTATGTATTCTTGCCTTTCTTCCGCTAATCCATTTTCAATGCTTATTAGAATTAAGATAATAGTGTATTTAGGATATAAATTATTCTCTCAAAACAATTATTCAAAAAATTAATTTGGATCAATCTCTTTCACATCTTATTTTATATTTTATATTTACAAAAACAATACATCAATTTTAAATAGTATTTTAAACACATAAATATTATCATTATATTGATATGATACTATTTATATTATTTATATTAAAAAATTATTTTTTTTTCAATATTAATTCTTAAATATCACGCGCTTATGTGTTTAAAATGCTATTTAAATTAAAAGAATTTAAATCATTTTATTCCAATAAAAATTCAAACATTTTAACGTATAATTTAAAGACAAATTTCCTGTTCTAAATATATAATATATAATATATAATAAAATATATAATATATAATATATAATTGAGGAGAGAATAAAAATGTTAGAAATAGCTAGCTTCGAAATTGAAACCTGCCGCGACGTATACATTTGTGCAATTTTGCGATGGCGATATCTCGAGTTTGCATGTCACAATGATCAGTAACAGATGCGATCGCGAGCCATTTGAAGAGTCTGTCGCGTGTCACTTTTGAAGCTCTTTCTCCGAGAGAAAAGATGACGGAGAGACGGCGTCTAAGAATACGGAAGATAGGCGAACGATCACTGCTGCCTACACATGTGTGAGTCGACAAGCGGGAAGTGAGAGTGCACTCGTCGCCTTTTCGGTGGTCGTGAGAATCGATTTACGGTATCTGGAAGTGGTGCACATGTACCGCCGGCTGAGTATTTTTGCCGAGCTCTCGAGGAGAGCGAACAAGAGAGAGAAGGAGAAAGCGCGAGAGAAAGATGGAAAGACTGTCTCTCTCATTTCTATCATCGAAAACCGCATAAAGGAATAGTTGGCAAAGAGATCGTTGATGATTGAAGGAGCAGAAATTTCTTTGCAAATTTCTCGCCCTTTGTAGAGATTAATCCTTCTGATCTGAGAATGACATTGAAACATGTGACTTCATTTACGAGGGCGATGTTTCAATGAATGGCATGTTTCTATGAGCAATTGGCGGCTATTTATAGATTTTACATATTTTTTCTCACTCGAATGTTTAGCAATCTGTGCCAGCTAGCTTCGACGAATACATTGAATTCTTACCGCTCTATGAATTCCTGGTCTAATATTGGATCTTGTATTTCATCATTCCAATATTCGCTTTTACTACGGGACTACATAAAATAGAAGTGAACAGTGCATTTGTTTTAATTTACTTTTTTTTTTATTTTCGAATAATCTCTTTTTTTATCTTCTTATATAATTCTAAAATTTCTCATAAATTAAATTAATAAATCTGCATTAAATCTACATTAAATTTACGTTTTGCAACTTACAGGGAATTTTCATTTGAATTATTTCAATATTTTTTTTAACGTCAAAATTTTTCAAATTTAAAACAAGTGTAAATAGCTTTCTGAAATTATTTTTGAAGATTAAGAAAATGTCTGTTTCTGGAAAATAATATAAATAATTTATGTAAATGTAAATAACAACATCTGTGAATAATAACTTTTTTAAAAATTTTTTAAATAATGTCATATACCTGATTTATGTTGCGAAAAGAATAATTTTTCTCAATTTCTTGTGCGGTAAATTTTTATTTTTGCGTTACATAATAAAATCTTGTAAATAGTCGCATACTTTTTTATATAAGAAATATTTGCTTCAATATTTTCTTTTATATAAGCCACATTTTCTTCAAAGAATCCCATCGTAGTTTATAATTTAGTAAATGTTGCGACGAGTCACGCGTAAAATACAAATGCAACATTTCACCTCAGGCGAAAGCGAAGAGGTCGAAATCCATCTCCACAATTAAATTCACATGGACATAAAACGCGTTATTTTTGGTTTTCTCCGTTTTCGTCGAAATGCATCTCATTTCGATGTCATGCCCCCGAGATACTCGCCGTTCTTCAAACGTCAGGTGTCAGGTTTTGCTCTTTTGCTCTCATCTCGACTTCGCGTCGCATAAAGTTCGAATTAACGCTGTCACCCCGGGGATGAATAATTTCGAGCATCGTGCATAATTCAAACCACGTGAAATTACATACGTATATGCGTGAGCGAGAGAAAGAAAGAGAGAGAAAAAAGATGAATGAAAGGAACGGAGAAAAGAGAGAGAGATATAATAAACGCGCGAATTAGTCTCGTCAAAAGATGATCAGGATACAAAGAGATTCTATTATAATATAATGGGACAGGAAGAGGACCATAATTTTCTCTCTTTTATCGCATGTATTCCCGGAACAATAAATTATGCGTGTTAATCTTTATCTAGCATGCGATAAACGGGATTCACTAGATGAGATGAACGAATTTGAATAAGAAATCCGAAATTAATCGCTAATTTTAAATTCTCATTTTTCCTGTAATTTTTAATCTCTAATTGTAAGTTACAATCCCTAAATTTTGTTAGCTAATATGCCACTTATGTAAAATCAATTTTTTTTCTATATTTTTTTTTACTTTTTAAATAAATAATTTTTCTAAATGTGAAAGTATAATTCCAAATAATTGTTATACATAAACATATATAGTTTATGTAAATATAAAATATTTGTACGAAATATATAAAATTAAAGTGTAATTAAAGGAAGAATTATTTTCCATGTTGGAGCCTTATTATCTCTCGAATGAAGCATTTTTGAAACTGTCATTTTGAAGTAAACGTTATTCTTTATAATTTGATGTGAAATTACATCCAATCAGTCTCGCATGAGCCGTATAACGAAGCGGTACGTTTCCTTTCTCTTTAATTAACATTTTATTCTCTCAAAATGCGTACTTTATTAAACGCGCCATGTGATTGTCGTAAATTAAGCGGACATAATTACTGAAATAAACAGCGGTAAACCGAGCGTCTATTCAAGTAATGACTCTGCCGCATTACTACTTTTTCTCTTTTTCTCGCGAGGTCTTGCTTATTTATCATAGTATCAAAAGAAGATAAAAGAGGATTCTCTTTGGATTCCACAATCCTTGGTACTTCGTCAAGCGAGCGCGCCTTTTATTTTACGTCGGAGAGGAAATGGAAAGCGATTGCATCGCAGGAGAGAATCGTGCTGTTAATTTAACGCGATAAATCGCGCGTTCGCGTACACATGATAAATTACCGTGAACAAAGCGGAGATAAATCTCAACCCCCTTCGTCTTCGGGGCGCGTGCGATTATCTTCCTATTGCGAATTGAGAAACTTGTATCGCAATTTCAAAGAGCTCCTTCGGGGCAAGAGTCCAGTCTGTTCACTCGCAAGAATCGTCCTGCGAAGCAGGAGCATTGAATGGAGCGTTTATTTTGAAAAAAATGGTGGTATTTGAAATTCATAGAAAATTGATTGAAAAATATACGATTTTACGTTTTGAATCTATTTAAATCCATCATTTTAAAATTCGATTATACTATTTTTTGGATAAATAACTCGGACTTTGTATCAGAAGAATCAATATTGAATAGGAACTGGTCCGGCGTGTTTACGTAGCCATTGATCGCTGCTCCGAAGAGTAACCGGCTATTATGCACCGGCTATCCAACTGCATAACACCGTAGCACAAAGCTATCTATTCGCCGGCGATCGGCTTCTGCATTAAGTAGATAATTCCAGGCCGCGATTTAGAGAGAAAGAGAGAGAGAAAGAGGATGGCTATGGTCCACAAACATACTATATTTCAAATAATAAGCAGCTTTCCTGACCCTACTTACCTTCCTTTGACTTTTATTTATTGAACAATAGAAACAATAATCAGTAGAATGAATAATAAATAATCCACCTTTTTTCCTTTTGTAAGAATTGAATATTTCTTTTCGATTAAGAGACGAATATTAGATATTTTTCTTGATCAGTACTTTTTATTTTTTTTTTATGTGTTTTTATTTTGTTATTTTATGTTATTTTTACGTCTACTCTTTATTTATCTTATTTTATATCTTTATATATCTTTTATTTATTTCTCTCATCATCTTACAAACATCCTCTCGGAATTTAATTTTTAATAGATTTCACCATCTTGATCATTATATCTTTATGATCTTTATATCTTTTATTTATTTCTCTCATCATCTTACAAACATTCTCTCGGAATTTATTAATTTTTAATAGATTTCACCATCTTGACCATTATATACTATTGGTACGAGAGGTTTTTCGACTAAGACATCAAGTGTTAATTATTATGGATAATATTAAAATTGAATAAACTTGAAGCAACCTTTGATCAAAGTCCTGCGATCGCATCTGTATAGTCATGTGGAACGATCGATCATTTCTGTCACTTTCGATCAAGTAATAGATACTTTTTACGTCGGTTTATTTCTACCGTCCATTCTTCTTCTTGAGACATCGAGATTTTATTCATCGGTATCTTTTACACTTCCACCGTGACATTCCTCGGCGCGGTGGTTTTATACGTTTTACAGGTACCAGCACATTCCAGTGCCTGGACACGCGGCAATCCGAGAAGGGTTCTCCCCTTCATCTTCTCCTCAGAAATCTCCTGCGTGTGCTCCTCGCAGAGAGCCTGCTTTATTATCTACGCACACTCGCAGGAAAAACGGATTGCCCGTGTCCAACGGTACATTTCCCCGCTGGAATCAGGGGAAAGAAGGTAGGAACAGGTAGAAGGACAATCACGCGCGAGCGCGACTCGCCGTCATGTTTCATTCACGCATGCCTCGTGAACTTTGATATACCGTGCGTATCACCTGGCGGACCTAGCTTTATCCAGGATCTGGCCTGGTTAACCCGCTTTGATCGAGAGCATGACAGGTAGAATCCAGAGAAAAAAAGAGAAAGTTGTGGATCTTTTCTCTTTTTCTTTCTCTCTCTTTCTCTTTTTTTCTTTCTTCTCTTTCGAGAGAAGTGCCGTGCCTTTTTGATTAGCCAGAGGCTTTTTTATAGTCTGTCTCGTAAGACATTCTCAGAAGGTGAAAGATTGTATCAGGTGTATCGTACAAGCGCCGTTCCCAAATATATCAGATATCCAGGCAGCGATTCTTTCGTGCGGTTGAAAGTCAAAGTCAGTTTTTTTTCCCGAAAAGGACTAAGGGGACGATTGTCAAGTGCAATAAATCTTCTTGTCCTTAATATTACGTCTGCTACGGAAATATTGCGTTAGAAAATCTTTGATATATTGCGAGCAATAAATTTAAATAATCTAAAATAAATGTATAAATTTTATTTAATCTTTAAAAATCTTAAATGTTGTTTCGAATCTTAAATTTCAATTTTCCTTTTTAGATGGCTATGGGTGAGTACCTGCACGCCAGACATTTTTCCGGACAAACGGCGAAGGTACTCTTCGGATATACTATACCTCCATGGTTGTGGAACGCCTACGGAAAGGTTTATTTTATCAATTTTATAAATGTTTATTAAAAACGTTGAATCTTTATTTAATCTAAGTAGATAAAATTTTATTTCTCGTCGCATCTGAGCGAGTATTTATAATTATAAAATGTGCAACAATAAATGAAGCGCGCGTTTATTAGCGTTTATTTTGTGGCATATCATTTATGAAATCTATCTCGTTTTAACTGTTGTAATCTTAACGTTATTTTTTAAAACATCTACGTACAGACAATCTTTCCTTAGTTTTGTGTTTATATTTGTTAAGTATGATAGGTCACAATATTCGCTGTTTATTTTCTTAACATTTTGTGTCATTGAGGAAGGTCTGAAATAGACCGAAATGTTTGCACGATTTAATTTACATTTATATTAAATTGACATTATACAGAGTGTATCTGAAATGATGCACTAAACTTTAGGAGCGTATTCTAGAGGTTAAAATACGACTTTTTTTCTTATGAACATAGATCCGCAAATGAACCCCTCTCCGAGCTAAAATTCGAAAATGTATGAAATTGGCCAAACACCCGCAACGCAAATTTATTTATCTCTCAAGAGAGGGTGATAGGTAACGTCAAAACCTTTTTTTTCTGAAATATAGTCAATTTTTAATTTTTTCCCCAAACTTTAGAGGCCTTTAGCTCGAAGGAAGGTTCATTTGCGGACCCATGTTCATAGGAAAAAAAAAGTCTTATTTTAACCTCTAGAATACGCTCCTAAAGATTAGTGCACCATTTCAGACAAATGTATATTAAAGATTTTCGCTCTAATTATGTTTTTATGATCCTCATAGCCTTCTTTCTTACTTACTTAATTTTTATTTCAAGGACTCAAACTTAGAATGATCTTTATCATCTAAGGCCCGGTTCCACAATTTGAGTTAATCCGAGTTTAATACGTTAAACTGGGTCTTGATTGGTCCTGATTCACTATTTAAACTCGGATTAACTGGATTGTGGAACTGGGCCTAAATGGTTTATGTTAAAATTTTACTTTATGAAACGTCAAAAAGTTAATCGAAGAGCTTGTATCAGTTGCTATTCTTTAATAAATTTTTCAACTTTTATTGATTAAAAAAATTGCATAAAAGTGTAAAGTAAAGGTAGGCAGTAGTAAACTAATTGTAAGAGTGAATATAAATTTTATTCATTTTTTTATTTCTTTGTAATTAAGAAAATATACATAAAATTTTCTTATAGATTGGTGTGTTTGGTTTCGGCGCGGCCTGCACCGCTTTAACCACAGACATCGCGAAATATACCATAGGCCGGTTGCGACCGCACTTCATGAAGCTCTGCATGCCCAACATTGACTGCAGCTTGCCTGAAAATCAGTACAGATACATCGAGCAATTTAATTGCACCGCAAGCGGGATTTCGGCCAAATTGCTAAAGGAAGTTAGGTGAGAATTTCTGTCGACATGCGAAAAGAAACTCTTGAAATTTTCTCATCAGCTTAAACGATGATAATGTATCTTAATCTGTTTCAACACGAGTAATATCTGGCTTCTCGATTGGAACGGTGCGTATTAATATCTCGAGATGCATCCAAAATCACGCGAACCATATCATACAATTCTTATAAAGTTATAAACATAAAAAATTATTAATTAATTTTTTATTTCAGTTTTTAAAATTAAAAAAATTTTTTAAATTAAAAAAATTTTTTTATTTCAGTTTCTAAAATTGATACATTTATGGCAAATAAAAAAATTTGCAAAAAATGTGTTATTAAATAATTTAATAATATTTTATTATACACACACAATTAATAAATCTTGAACGCTACTTCTTGATGATATTAGAAAATTTATTTTTCAGACGCTCTAAAAGAAATAAAATTAGATTTATCAAGTACATGAAAAATAATCAAGTATATTTTTCATAGATACATAATTAATTATATAAATGTGTAAATAGTAATTACAATATTTACAATGACAGAGTATATTTGTCAAGTACAATTTTATAGATTTTATAGAATAGTAATTACGATTTACAATGACAGAGTATATTTTTCAAGTATATTTTTTACAGATACATAACTAATTATATAAAATGTGTAAATAGTAATTACGATATTTACAATGACAGATCATTTTATGGGATATTAATCGCACCAAGGTGAAACTCCTTTGTTGTCTCGGGAGAAAAATAATTTTTTACATAGTAGCCAGATTCGCAAATAGAGACTACTCGTGGCGAATCGATAAAGTTTGAGTAGTAAAGTTTGGGCGATACGAGAGGCAGCACAGTTATATATATCATGTTATATCGCGCGATTCTTGGCGGCTTTATTCTCGGTCTCGATCGACGGATGTTTTGAGGGCAATACTCCGAAACGGGATGTTCATGTTCGACAACACGAGTCGGACGTGCCGCTTACAATTAGATCGCGTGACGGTAACAATTTGCGGGGCACGATTGAGCAAAAAAGCGGGGAGGGGAGGAGAGAGGACGGTGAAGGGGGAAGGGGGATTTGTCGTTCCACGCACATATTTCGTTATTTTTGCTTCATTAACGGTCTCGCGCGTGGCGGGCCACGCGACAAGTTTACGAACACGAGAGACGAAACGGTAATTTGTGGTAATCAAAAGGGAGACAAGCGCGGAGGAGACGGTCGCTTTAAATCGATGCGATACGCCGGCGCTTGACTTTCATTAAACGCTCATTGGATTATTATCAGCCCGTTTGTCCCGCTTACTGCTTATCAAGTTATTTATATGCGTCCCTCTTAATTATAGCAACGCTCGATTTTTTTTCCTGTGAGCGAGTCGATTATTTCCGGAAAGCACAAATTTATTTAGAAATTTGACTCTTCGGGAGAATGATGCAAATCTCTGGAAATGATATTAAATAATATGAATAAAAATAATATAAAGATAATATAAAAGTATAAAAAAAATATAAAAATAATATAAATAAAAATAATATAAATAAAAATAATATAAAAAAAACTTGTTCAAATGAATAGATATCTGTAGTGTATTGTATAATGAAAGGATGACCTTCTTAGATATTAAACGCACCGTATTAAAGTAAAATCATTTTTCGTTTCACGAAATAAAGAGAGAAATGCAAAATAATCAATTGAAATGAATCGATCTTGACTGATTATGAGATAAAAAATTGAAATTGTCATCTTTTCGAAAAATCACGCCCGGGGTATCCTGTTAACACATTAATTAATTCTAGCAAAATTCAAACTTTGTTACCATTTTTACCGAATTGATTATTTCGTGTATGCCAGCTCGTCTCAATCTAGTACGGAAATTTTTTGCACGCCCGGATATAACGTATGTACCTATCCCGTATTCCAGGGGCCGGTTTTAACGGATACGGGTGCGCGCGCTTGCACAAAAAGAGCCACGGTAACGAATGACAATGAGCAGCTCTCCGGTCGAAGGGAGAGGAGGGCTTTGCTAGCGATACGCATGAATGAGATTCACGCCAAATCGTGCAGTTCTTCGTTCTTTTACTTTCTCTCTCTCTCTCTCTCTCTCTCTCTCTCTCGTTCTGTCTCTTTCTATCTCTCTCTCTTGGCCCTCTCTCATCGTCCTCTCTAACGGGAAGGCCATTACACGCTCGAATTGCTATCCACACCCCGTTTATTGTCGCTAACAATGACGATCGGTTCGATTCAAAGACTTGCACGTTAATCTCCATCCCGTCTTGACAACGGCCAGACCTACCTCTACCGATCCCATAAACATGTTTTCGCACATGTATTCTACCGGGCTTACATTTCTCCCATCATTTCTTTTTCGCTTCCGGCGCATATTTCGGCTGTCTGTTGGTAGCTTCTACTGTAACTACTTGGCCCGTGTTTTGCGAGCTACGCAACTGCACATATAATTTTCGATGTCGTACAAGATGTTTCTCTCGGGTCGGAAGACGCGATTTCGACGACGAAGCGCATCCGATTCACGAGGCGTGACTAACTTTAGCACTTTACAGAATCGCGACGTTAACGGAAACGAAAGCGGGGCTTCTGAAATGCGTCTCGGGCTGCTTCTTCTTTTGTTCGTGTCTGCACAATTTTCGCCTTTAATTTACCGGTAAACGCGAAACGCGAGCGGCCGCAAAGTCGAAACGCAAAGCTAAAAGGCTCTCCATGGGAGATAGGATCGTCTAAGACGTACGAAGGATTACATACGCGGCTTATTATACTCGAAATAGCTCCGAGCTCTCACCAACGCGTTCCAACATGTACGTCACTATATCTTTTAGAAATCGAGAAAACACGCCTTGCAAATAAACATCTACGACCTGACAAGGCTGATTTTGCACGCTCGACTTCACTTGAATGGAAATCGTAGGAAGGAAAGCTGAAAATTCGTCTCCTCATTCTTTCCCGACCTACGGGATGTCAATCTTTCGAAAGAATTTTTTGGATGATACATTGGTTGGTTCCCTTCGAAGATGCAGAGAGAGGAAGGCAAGTCGAGAACGTTGTTCGAGACAACGTCATTCATTCAATAAGTTGTGCATTATCAATCGTTAAAATAGATACGTAATACATGTGATAAGTTTCTTTTAAATCATCATTCAACACAGATATGTTAGACTTCTTTCAATTCTTTGCATCTCGTGAACCCCAAGCGCGCGTGTTGAGGTTCATCTCGTACAGCGTGCATTGATGTCGTACGAAGGCGGTTTAATCCGTGAGATGAACCGAACGCGCGTAAGCAGAAGCTGTATCAAGAGGGAACATTTTCGAGTCTCTCTCGCTCTCCCTTTGTACTCGGGAGCCTCGCTAAAGTTCCAGAGTCCACGAAACAGAGTCGACGATTAGCGCTCCGTACGAGTTTACGTCACATGCATTCTTCCTCTTCGTCGTTTTCTTCCTCTTTTCTTTTCCTCTCGCCTCTGAGAAAGACGAAGAGAGAGAAAATGGTCTCGAGCGAGCGTTATCATCATATAAGCGAATGAAAAGAAAGGGGGACGGCCTCTGTGTTATAATAAGGCCCCCCGGTACTCTTTCGATGTACACTACGTATATAGGGTGTCTCATATAAGTAAGGGACAAAATAAGTGCACTGTTATATTCCTCGCTAAAAAATAAGCGCTTTATTCCTGTAGCATAATTTCCGTACATGCATCGTTTTCAAGATATCTTAGTTTTTAATATATTTCCTGATGTGTGCATCTCTTGATTCTTTGTATAAAAATATTGATGTCTTTGTTATATAATTAATTTTTTTATTTATTTTTTAGTTGTTATTTTTGTTATATAATTAATTTTTTATTGAATTAATTTTTTTAGTTAATTAATTTTTTAATACTTACATTTTTATAAAACACTTGAAGAAATTTGGATTGATAGGATATAAAGCGCATATTTTGCTGCTTTGAAAAAAATTGTTTTATATCAACTCAAATAAAATTTCTTCAAGTGTTTCACTACAGAATGTATCTGAAATGATACATTAAACTTTAGAAGCGTATTCTAGAGGTCAAAATAATTTTTTTTCCTATGAACATGGGTCCGCAAATGAACCCCCCTCCGAGCTAGAGGCCCCTAAAGTTTGGGGAAAAAATTAAAAATTGGCTGTATTTCAGAAAAAAAAGGTTTTGACGTTACCTATCACCTTCTCTTGAGAGATAAATAAATTTGCGTTGCGGGTGTTTAGTCAGTTTCATATTTTCGAATTTTAGCTCGGAAGGGGGTTCATTTGCGGACCCATGTTCATAAGAAAAAAAAATCTTATTTTGACCTCTAGAATACGCTCCTAAAGTTTAGTGCGTCATTTCAGATACACCCTGTATAAAAATGCAAAAATATTAGGCTTGATTAGAACAAAATTTTTAAGATGGAAAACAGCAAATGTCCTACAGGTATTAGAAAAATAAGACATCTCGGAAATGACGCATTTAAATAAAATTTGCCAGGGGAAAAAGACGTTTATTTTTTGACAAGGAATATAATAGTACATCAGTTTGCACCTTGGGTGTACAACATTCTGTGTACATACACGTGCTCGAGACCGTATCACGCGAGTCATTCGCGGTCTTAGCGGGGACAGTTTTATGTATATAGGAAGATTTAAGGAATCAAGATGATAAAGCGTGACGACGTTACACAGAGAATTCATTCATGTCCCCTCCGCGTGGTAATAGTCCAAGGAACTGCTTCGAGCGTGGAAAGAGAAAAAGAGAGAGGGAGATGGATGAACGAAGGGCGAGGAGGACCGTCACGGTCTCTTCATTGACCCGTCATTTACCAGTGTCACCGTGTAAAGAAGAGTCCTTGAGACTTACATAAGAGCGCCGGGGATATATGTGCCTTTGAAAGAACGCGGTGGTCGTACTTTCATCGTTAATTATACCAATATATCCTGTCGTTACGTCCTCGTACTTATGTTAGCGTTGACAGATATATGAGCTATCACGCACGCAAGATCTCTCTGCGTAATCTCAGTCTTAACGACTGGTAACTACTTGGTTTCCTCATTCGTTTTCCTCGAGCGAAAATATCAAGGAAATGTTCCAATCTTCGATGTTGTTTCTTGAAAATTAAAAATTCTGTAAAAATGAGATTAGATTGGAACGGTGCCGTTACCAGTTGATTAAAACACAGACATGATAATTCTCGGTAGTGAACACTGAGAACCGGCAGGCGCAGTCGAATTGCCGAGCTGCAGGTCCTAATTAACGTAGCGTAGCCTCCGAATTTTTTTACGAGAGCGTCTCTCCTAACAGGGAGAACGGTTGGGGGGGAAGGGAGAATGGGGAGGGAGAAGGGGGAGGGCTAAGTATCGAGTCTCCCTTGCGCCCTTCTCGCATTTTTTGCTCGTGCGATGGAGATTCGCAGAGCCCTGCCTCCTCTTCTTTTTCTTCGCATTCGTCGCTCGCGGCTACGCGACTCTTCGTCGATCGTAATCGGCACGCTACGCACGCCCCGAATTTAATAGCGATAAAATTAATAGGGGGAGGGAGGAGGGAGGATCATGCGACGATTGCGATCGCGCGAGAGGAGGGTGCAAAGTGCAAGAGAGATCTCTCCTTTTTTGTTCTTTCTCCTCTTCCTTCCTCCCCCTCCCCGCCTCCCTCTTTTTCGATCCATAAGTGGGATTTATTTGACACCGTACGATGAATCGTTTCAGATTATCGTTTCCCTCCGGACACTCGTCCTTCTCGGCCTACACTATGATCTACCTCGCGGTAAGTAGTCTTTAAGTTACACACAAGCGTTGCGTCGCAACGCATCGATTTGCATACGCGGGCCGGATCTTAATCATTCATTCAACAGGCTCGATACGAGCGTATCGTTTCGCAGACGAGATTGCGGAATCCACGCCCGTGAAATTCGATTTGCATAATCTTATATACGAAACGCTGGAGAATGTTACAGATATCCGATTCGCGTGGACGATAAAATTGAATCGATACGATAATGCTGGTATCGATGATTATGAAAAACAGACTGATTATAAGTTACAATTGGAAAAATTGAGTTAACACGTGTACTTTATTTTATACTATTATCGATACATTCCAACACTGCGGTTTTAATACTAGTTGTTGAATTCAAGAATTTTTGAATAAAAAAATTCCCCCCTATATTTATATTCTTTTCTAAACATTTTTTTCCAAATTTATACATACGTCATTTTTATGCCTTTATATCGATGACGAAAATAGATTTTAAAAATTTCGATCAATTTCCTTTCCATCAAAGATTGTATCTTGTATGTTCTACTGTTTTTCATTTAATTAAGTTGCAAAGATAACTCAATAATCAAATTTTTTCAAATTTATATATATATCATTTTTATGCCTTTATATCGATGACGAAAATAGCTTTTAAAAATTTCGATTAATTTCCTTTCCAGCAAAGATTGATCTTGCATGTTTTGTACTGTTCTTCATTTAATTAAGTTACAAAAATAACTCAATAATGAAATTTATAAAAGGAAGGATTACTAGAAAGTATGGAATACTTGGGATTTTTTTAGATGTATCTCCAATTAAGGATAAAGTGGAAAGGCAGCAAATTGCTCAAGCACGTGCTTCAACTTATTTGCCTGTTGATGGCCTGGTTTACGGCTATGACAAGAATTTCCAATTACAAACATCATTGGAGTGATGTTCTCGCCGGATCTACTCTTGGCACAATCGTAGCTTTACTTGTGGTGAGCATCGCATTGTTCAACCCTCAATGTACTCCATCTCAACGATGTGAAATAATTTTGAAAGACATAATTTTGACATATTTTTTTCAAAATTAGATTTTGATAATCCAAATATTAATTGAATGAATTATAAAAAAAGTTGAAACAAGTAATTATTTTTCTATATTATATTATTTTTCTATTTTAGTAATTATTTTTCTTAAACAGAATTAATTGTCACATAATTATGTAAGTAATTGAAATAAAATATTAAAATATTAAGATATTTAGATATTTAGTAAAAATATATATTTCTTAAATGAAAACTAAAATAATTTTTTTCTGTCAAATTTTAGTCGGACCGTTATATTTTGTTGATAGAATTTTGAAATAAATTTTAAATATTTTAATTTTCTAACACATTTCTATTTTCTTCTTTTTCCCAATACTTCAAGTTGGGATTCTGTTTATTTACTAGAATAAGATTATATTAAAGAATATAGAAGAATAAGATTATATTATCTATACACATCGCTTTTTCAATTGTAGATCGATAACTAATTAATAATTTTGGTTTTCAAAGAGATTATTAATAAATAAATAAGAGATTATTTTATAGAGATTTTATGTATACAAAAAATATTATACATTTACATCAAATATTTATTACCGAAACACTGCATAATTTCAATTTACAGTTTAAGTGTATGATATTAAAATTTTAAATATAGTTTTAATTGAAAGATAAAATATGATCTCAATCATAACATTGAGAAATTGTATCAGTCGATGTAGAAATCTATTCGACGAAAGTAAAGCGATCGAGATTTTTGAATGTTTCCTCAGATGCATTGCGTGGCAGATCTCTTCGCGGAGGAGAGAGAGAGGCATTCTTCCACGGAGAAGCATCGACCTACCGATTACGAAACGGAAACTGGCGTCGCCAGCACACAGGTGAATAATGGCACTGCTAATCGCAACTGTTGACCTAACGAGCTCGCTCTTCGCTTGCTGACTGCAACAAGGCCGTGACTGTCTTCTAGTTATCTCTGAGAAGCTAAGGTGTCCGGATTTTTGTTTGGGGAACATCAGACCAGATTTCTCGTCTGGACGTACACGTTGGCGTAGCCTTCTCCAGCCCTGGATTCTCTCTAGTGCGACGAATTTTAGACACTTCAAGAATATACTTTTTTTAATTCCAAATAGCAAATTGTCTAATATTGTTTTTTAGGAATGTTTCTCGACAAATATCAACATCTCCTCGCCGTATTTCCTTTTCCAACATTGTTATATAAGCTCTCGTCCTTCTCGGACGAAAACCCTCGTTAACGCTCTGCTGATGTTGTAGAGAAAAAGAGAGGAAAAAGGGAATAGAGTGCAATGTAGCTACATTTTGCGAATATTTTTTATTTCGTTGAGCTTTAATTGATTATGCGAACGTGTTTGACGTGAAACGCGATGTATTTTATGTGCAGCGAAGAGCGATCATTTTTTATTTTATGCCTTTGTCTTAGCTTATTGTAATGTTTGAAGGGTAGATGTGCGCTTAAAAATTTACGTTTGTGATGTTTCTTGCGGCTGATTAGCCAAAGGCGAGAAAATCTCGTCGCAAAAAATCAGTCGGTATTAACTGAAACAGAAAAGAAAATTATTTTCATAAGTAATATTTATAGAATTTTAAGTAATAACAGTGAAGATATTTATTTCTTTACATCGTAACATATATTTATTTTTAATCGCGAATTGGTGCTTCAAGATTTAGCATAATATACCGATCATCTTTTTAAGAAAAATCGTTCTTTTATTACGAGCAATGAAAAATTGATGATCGAAAATATTGTTTTGTATTATATTAATATACGTATAACATGTATCTTAAGTATATTGTTTACATTACTTTTAAAATTAAGAAGATAGTAAGGCTCTCTTATGTAAAAACACGATTTCAAATATCGTGGACTAAGAGCCAGACGCGAATGGATGTTCGTCAGTTTTACAGAAAATTAATTCCTCTGTGAAACTGATTAATATGCATAGAATATAGAACAATTTTTCTTGATTAACTCAAAATTTGAAATCTCCTTTCGAGATTTCCTTTGAAAAGATCTGACAAAAAAATATCAGGTCGAAATCGCTGAATCAGGCATTGAACCACGACTCTTACATTATCTTTCACTCTTTATTATTTTAGCAGCTTGTTTATAGCGCGCGATAGTTATTGAAACATTTGTACGCGTTATATGCAAGAGACAAGTACGTCTCTAGGAGCTTTTTAAGTTTGCTATTTTTTAATAGCTTCAATTTATGTTTTATATACGTTGGTTTATTGTGCAGAGCAGATATGTAGATAGCAATTAGAATCGCAGATAATAAAAATCTAAATTATTAGAGTATTCGGATTATAAAAGAGATTTGGAAAGAGATATTGATAATATTTAAGATTCAAATCGATTTCGATCTTACTCTGTAAGTGTGTTATAATTCAACAACGTTGCAAACTATCAAGTGACAAAGTTAACGATAGTGTGCCGCTCATGTCACTGCGATAATTTTTTACTTACGACATGTCCTAAAGCTACTTGATATATTGTAAAATTTTTTATTATCTTTTAGGCCCGACCTGCGGCCGATTTGCAATTTCAGTCGATTTTACCTACTACCATCTTCCACTTCTTTTATTTTTTTTTACTTTTCTGGATTTCTCGCGGAAACGTAAAACGCTCAAATTCAGGAACGATATTATAAATCGCGTTTTGGTATGTCCCCTGCACTGTGTATATGTATGTGTGTATGTGTCCCATTTTAGTATTACTTTAAATTTTATAACATAATAATAATAATAATAATAATAATAATCTGGGGCGAAACGTGGCAGAGTAGATAGTGCACTACAAAGCCAAGCTCTCAAGTTCGATTCTCTAAAATCGAAAAATTGTATACGCTCGCTCCTCTCTCGGAAGGCAATGGCAACCAGAAAATCTTGCCAAGAACATCTCTCTAATGTAGCCGTTCGGAATCAGCAATAAACTATAGGTTCCATATATAATAATAACTCTATAAATTGTATGGAGCAATACACAGTAAGCAAAACTCCATATGATTTATAATTATTACCGTCCTGAACTCGAGCGTTTTACGTTCTGCAAGCAGTCTATATGCTATGAAACAAAAGCTGATGATAACAAATAAAATCGGCCGAAAAGTCACCTGCAGGTCTGCTTAGACCACGAAGTAAGAGTACTCTTACTTCATGGTTTAAACGAAGGATAAATGAATTAAAATTTATTGCGAAAAATTTATTTTTATGAATAAATGCTTAATTTTCATCATAGGGGATGTGAAGATTTTTTATTTTTTCAATTCCTTGAATTTTATTCTATTTCTTTTTCTTTTCTAATATTCTTCAATAAGAATTGAATAAAAAATTTATTTTAAAATAATTATATATATATATATATATATATATATATATATATATATAATTTGTTATTTTAAATAACAGGTAAAGTATTATTTTTTAAATGAAAATAAGTAAATATGGGATTAATTTTATTTTTTAAATAATTTCAATAATTTTTTAAAATTCTTTTTAATCTTTTGTGGTAATTTTGAAATAAAAAGTGATAAAAAAAATGAAAAGAAATTTTAAAGATATTTTCTTATTTCAATAATTAAGAATTTATAACATAAAATAAATTTTTCTATAAATTTTTTAATTTATCTGTTTCATGTCGAGAGAATATTTATTTAGTCTCAATTTCAATCAGTTTATTTCTGGATTTCCAGAAATCATGTTTAAAATATACGTATATATAGATTAGTAGAAACATAGGCTCTTATACTTAGAATCATTGCCACAAGTCGACTTTCTATATGACTTTTTATGGCATTGCGCCGATATCTATCGAATGTATACATCGTTAATCCTGAAACATAATTAGTATAGATGATACATACAGTATATGGTGCTCTAGAATTTTAATTAAGTGTATGATGGCGATCCGCCATAATTTAATTGAAAGTATTTGGTAACCACCGTCATAGAATGTCATAATAAAAAAACCGCATACATTCGCATATACCAATATATATATATAGAAAGATTTTTATTTATTTTATAAAAAATATATACTATATATATACACAAGAGAACATACACATTTTGTTGTGTATAAATATTTCATATATATCTAATTTTAAATTATCGTTATCTCTAATTATCGTTAAATTATCGTTATCTCTCAATTCGAGCAGAGTTCCAAAATTCTCGATAACGCAGGAAATGATTCAATTGACTCGATATATTGTTATAGTACAATTTTACTTATAATGTTTATAAATATTTCTTTCATCCTTTGAATAATTATACGCTTATGTAATTTACTACGATCTAAATAATTTAGAAACGTGTAATACACGTTGTCTTAGGATGCTTTTAATTTTAATAGATTTTTTATTACTAGAATTTATTTTTGTTGGATTGAGATATCGAAGCATTAATTTTGGAATTGTAATGAAATCTTACTTGAAATAGAAAATTAAGATATTTATTGTTTCAGAATTTTAATCTCAAGTTTAACTACTAAGCAAAATAGAGAAAATTAAAATTATATATAAAGTTATATACAAAATTTTTTAATGTTTTTATAAACAAAATTAATTTGAGTTTAGTAAAGTTACAAGATTCAGTAAAATTGAAGTTGAGATTTCTGACACATCCTCTACATTATATTTCATATTTGACGCAAGTCAATCCAACAATACAATCTGTTACGAATAATAGCGATCTGATTGCTGTATCAATTGTGTCTTTCTTAGATATGTAATTGCGAGTGCGCAGGAAATTACATCTGTCTGACCGCTTTAAAAAATAGCATATATGATATGAAAGATAGAACGGGATCATATACTATTACACGAGACCAAGATTGCTTTACAATTAATCTAACGATTCTTAGCGATCTACATTTATATATATTCGTCGAATGAGAAATTGTATTATGATGCCTGTGTAATAAGGACATTAATTACACACGGAATATTCGTCGTTTTGTCCTGTGTAATATTGAGAGCCACGCGTGAGGCCCTCGGCGAAGCGTCGCCAATAAATGCTGTACATACATAGGAGTAGGAATAAATTATTGAATTAAATGAATCACGTATCTCAACGTGTGCTGTGTCCTTGATTCATACCATCGAAAATGATGACTGCGATCACCATAAGATATATCACGCGTCATTCTTCAAGTCGAAAAGTGAGCCTTTTACGAAGCTACTCATGATTAATGTTTGTCATTTAATCGATTTTAATCTCTACAGTTATTTGTTGTTGCGATAAGATTTTGTACATAAGAGTTTTATCATGATTATATGTTTCAGACCTCTATCGAACAATCTTCTTATAATTGCGATTATAATCGTGTATATTGTAAGTTAAACAAAAAAAAAATAATAATTACTTTGAAATTATTAAAAAAATGATTATGAAAATTATTAAAATAGTTAAAACTATAAGAAATTATAACAAATTGAATATATAAACGCGGACAATAATAATTGTACGATCGCGAATTTGAATAGAATATAAAAAGAAATTAAATGATCATTTTTCTAGTTAAAATTTAATTTTATCTCACTTTTTAAAAAGGAAATCTTGGAAATTTATTTCTTACCGTTCTAATCACGATAATATTTAATTTTAAAAATTAAATAATAGGTAATGAAAAACAATTTAATCTTAAGATTTATAAAAAAAAAATGAACTTCAAGGAACATTGATTGATATACACATATCAATACCTTTTTTTATCTAAAACAGTGTACAATTTATTTTCAAAATACGAAGTAAAAATACAACGATCAACGTTTTTATAATCAATACATACTTTGACACTTTGAAATAGTTTTTCTATTAGTTTATAATTTTACAATATTTATATATTAAGAATACAAATAGAGAAAGAAACTTATTAACAGCGATACTTTTTATGTAAAAAAAATGGATTTAAGATCGTTTTAATATTAATCGATTATGATGAAGCAACTGTAAGTATATGAGCTTGATAATTGGAGCTGGTAATATTTTGCAATGTGTACATATTTATATATTATAAATATTGCTGATGTAAAATATTTTTTCGCTATCGCAAATCGCTTACGATAAATCACTTTTGCATTATAAATTTCAATGGGCTTTTTCAATTATGGCATTATTATACATGTTTGTACGCTATTATGAGCTTTTATTGATAAATTTTTTTTCATATGTAAGAGAAAAATGTATTTTATTTTACTCTCTATTTCATTTATTTATTAATTTAAAATTATAACCATTCGAATGAATAAAATTATTCAATAATAAAATTGCAAACATGCATAAGATTAAATAATATTAAATATAAATTATATAATAAGCTTTCTGTAACAAAATTATTATACAATATTATTTAATATGTATTTATGTATGCATCTACACATGTACGAGATACATTCTATTAATTTTCATACAGAGTATTTTTGATGTTTCATAACTTTCGTGTATTTTCGTGTTAGAAAAGTATTTTTTCTTATTCCTTAGCTGACAAGATGTTTCTTGTTAATTACAGGATGAATTGCACCCATTACAAATGAGAATGCAATCGTATGGTGGACTTGATACGGAAGATTCTACGCAGAAATCGTGCAGACGCAGTTCTGATTGAAAATTCGTTAAATAATCAATATACTTAATCAATATACTCAATATAAGGATTTTACACTTATATTTATGTTGTAAGAATCATCTTTGAAACATTCTTTTCAATTAGAATTAGAATATCGACGTAAAATAATGAGTTAAACTACTTTGTGTGATTTTAATTTTTATGTATAGATAAATTATTAATGTAATTAGATGTATTTATCTATCTTATATATTTATACATGCATATAGTACATATAAATATGTAAATTTATGTGATATTTAAAAGTACAAACTTTATAGATATATATAATTATAAATAAATATACTTATATATTATACTATATATATATATATATATATATATATATATATATATATAAAATATATATACTATATATATTATAAATTAATATAATTATAAAGAAGATTGTTTTAAAAATAAAAAACAATCAAAGACATAATGTAGAAATTTGGAGAAGGGATTTATATATGATACAAAAAATTATTTGCTTTTCTCAATTTTTAGCATAAAATACAAATTTTAAATTTAACTTTATTTATTTATGTTGCAATTATATATGAT